GGGACCCAGGAGCTGTGAGGGTCTGTGGAGAGAGAGGTCTGTGAGGGACCCAGGAGCTGTGAGGGACCCAGGAGCTGTGAGGGACCCAGGAGCTGTGAGGGACCCAGGAGCTGTGAGGATCTGTGGAGCTGTGAGGGACCCAGGAGCTGTGAGGGCGTGTGCTCTGACCTTGCTTGCGGTGGCGCTGCAGCAGCCACAGCGCCCCCCTCTGGACGCAGGTGGAGATGCAGTACTTGAGCACCGCGTGGAGAGCAGCAGGCAGCAGCAGAGCACTCAGAGGGAGCAGGCGCCGACTGTGAGGCGCACCCAGCCCCAGCAGCCGAGACAGCGCCTCCCGCAGGACGTCCAGGAGAGAGCAGGCATCGTCACGCACTATGTCACTCTGAAACACCAGCAACAACTGAGAGACCAGGGAGAGACCAGAGAGAGACCAGAGAGAGACCAGAGAGAGACCAGAGAGAGACCAGAGAGAGACCAGAGAGAGAGACCAGAGAGAGACCAGAGAGAGACCAGAGAGAGAGACCAGAGAGAGACCAGAGAGAGAGACCAGAGAGAGACCAGAGAGAGAGACCAGAGAGAGACCAGAGAGAGAGACCAGAGAGAGACCAGAGAGAGAGACCAGAGAGAGACCAGAGAGAGACCAGAGAGAGACCAGAGAGAGACAGAGAGAGACCAGAGAGAGAGACCAGAGAGATACCAGAGTGACACCAGAGTGACACCAGAGAGAGACCAGAGAGAGACCAGAGACCGACCAGAGAGAGACCAGAGAGAGACCAGAGAGAGACCAGAGAGAGAGACCAGAGAGAGACCAGAGAGAGACCAGAGAGAGAGACCAGAGAGAGAGACCAGAGAGAGACCAGAGAGAGAGACCAGAGAGAGACCAGAGAGAGAGACCAGAGAGAGACCAGAGAGAGACCAGAGAGAGACCAGAGAGAGACCAGAGAGAGACCAGAGAGAGACCAGAGAGAGACCAGAGAGAGACCAGAGAGAGACCAGAGAGAGACCAGAGAGAGACCAGAGAGAGACCAGAGAGAGACCAGAGAGAGACCAGAGAGAGAGACCAGAGAGAGACCAGAGAGAGACCAGAGAGAGAGACCAGAGAGAGACCAGAGAGAGACCAGAGAGAGACCAGAGAGAGAGACCAGAGAGAGACCAGAGAGAGACCAGAGAGAGAGACCAGAGAGAGACCAGAGAGAGACCCAGAGAGAGAGAGGACCAGAGAGACCAGAGAGAGACCAGAGAGAGACCAGAGAGAGAGACCAGAGAGAGACCAGAGAGAGACCAGAGAGAGAGACCAGAGAGACCAGAGAGAGACCAGAGAGAGACCAGAGAGAGACCAGAGAGAGACCAGAGAGAGAGACCAGAGAGAGAGACAGAGAGAGAGACCAGAGAGAGAGAGAGACCAGAGAGAGACCAGAGAGAGACCAGAGAGAGACAGAGAGAGAGAGAGACCAGAGAGAGACCAGAGAGAGAGACCAGAGAGAGACCAGAGAGAGACCAGAGAGAGAGACCAGAGAGAGACCAGAGAGACCAGAGACCGACCAGAGAGAGAGACCAGAGACCGACCAGAGAGAGAGACCAGAGACCGACCAGAGAGAGACCAGAGAGAGAGACCAGAGACCGACCAGAGAGAGAGACCAGAGACCGACCAGAGAGAGAGACCAGAGACCGACCAGAGAGAGACCAGAGAGAGAGACCAGAGAGAGACCAGAGAGAGAGACCAGAGAGAGACCAGAGAGAGACCAGAGAGAGAGACCAAGTTTCCAATGAGGAGTCAGCTCTCACCTGCACCGTGTCTATGAGGCTGGCACAGTAGAACGGCAACGCCACGACCGCAGTGAGTCTAAACACAAGTGATACAGACTGTGATACAGACTGATACAGACTGATACAGACTGTGATATAGACTGATACAGACTGTGATATAGACTGATACAGACTGTGATATAGACTGATACAGACTGTGATATAGACTGATACAGACTGATATAGACTGATACAGACTGTGATATAGACTGATATAGACTGATATAGACTGATATAGACTGTGATATAGACTGTGATATAGACTGTGATATAGACTGTGATACAGACTGATATAGACTGTGATACAGACTGATATAGACTGATATAGACTGATACAGACTGATACAGACTGTAATATAGACGGATACAGACTGTGATATAGACTGATACAGACTGTGATATAGACTGATACAGACTGTGATACAGACTATGATAGAGACTGATATAGACTGTGATATAGACTGATATAGACTGTGATACAGACTGTGATACAGACTGTGATATAGACTGTGATATAGACTGTGATACAGACTGTGATACAGACTGATATAGACTGATATAGACTGTGATATAGACTGTGATACAGACTGTGATATAGACTGTGATATAGACTGTGATACAGACTGTGATACAGACTGATATAGACTGATATAGACTGTGATATAGACTGTGATATAGACTGTGATATAGACTGTGATACAGACTGATACAGACTGTGATACAGACTGTGATACAGACTGTGATACAGACTGTGATACAGACTGTGATACAGACTGTGATACAGACTGTGATATAGACTGTGATACAGACTGATACAGACTGTGATACAGACTGTGATACAGACTGTGATACAGACTGTGATACAGACTGTGATACAGACTGTGATACAGACTGTGATACAGACTGTGATACAGACTGTGATATAGACTGTGATACAGACTGTGATACAGACTGTGATATAGACTGTGATACAGACTGTGATACAGACTGTGATACAGACTGTGATATAGACTGTGATATAGACTGTGATATAGACTGTGATATAGACTGTGATATAGACTGTGATACAGACTGTGATACAGACTGTGATACAGACTGTGATACAGACTGTGATACAGACTGTGATACAGACTGTGATACAGACTGTGATACAGACTGTGATACAGACTGTGATATAGACTGATATAGACTGTGATATAGACTGATATAGACTGTGATACAGACTGTGATACAGACTGTGATACAGACTGTGATACAGACTGTGATACAGACTGTGATACAGACTGTGATACAGACTGTGATATAGACTGCGATATAGACTGTGGCACAGACCCCTTCAGCAGCAAGTGTCCGCACAGCTGCCTCCAGCTCCAGCGATGTGGAAGTTCTCTGTCAAAGAAAACACTCAGTTGTGAAAGCAGCACAGTCTGTGACATCACACTCAGACTGTGTGGTTACCGTGGCAACGGCGTGAACTCGCTCAGGATGCCCTCAGCTCCGAGCGTGACGCCATGGACGATAAAGGTACTGCCCATACCCTTCCACAGGGCACGGATACCCTGAGAGAGAGAGAGGGAGAGAGAGAGAGCAAATTAGACCTGTGCTTAGACCTCCTCAAAGGGCAGCTGCGGCTTCAGGTTTTGGTTCTGAGAGTCTGCCGTTCTCCTGCTCAGGTTGGAACTAAAACCAGCAGCCCAACCTGCACTTTGAGACCGCGTTAAAACCCCTGGCCTCAGAGGGCGTGGCCACAGGGGGCGTACCTGTGCTTTACTGATGCTGTACATGACGGCCACAGCAGTGAAGGGCGTCAAGTGGTAACAGCGGGCGTGGACGTTCACCTGGAGAGACACAGCCAATCAGAGAGGAGGAGAGGGCCCAATCAGAGAGGAGGAGAGGAGGAGAGTGGGCGGGGCAGACTGACCTGACACTGGCGGCGGAACACGATACAGGGATGAGCCAAAACGTTCTCCGTGAACAAACTGAAACAGAAACACACCATCATCGTCTCTGGCCCCGGCCCCCACTCTGGTCTCTGGCCCCGGCCCCCACTCTGGTCTCTGGCCCCCACTCTGGTCTCTGGCCCCGGCCCCCACTCTGGTCTCTGGCCCCGGCCCCCACTCTGGTCTCTGGCCCCGGCCCCCACTCTGGTCTCTGGCCCCGGCCCCCACTCTGGTCTCTGGCCCCGGCCCCCACTCTGGTCTCTGGCCCCGGCCCCCACTCTGGTCTCTGGCCCCGGCCCCCACTCTGGTCTCTGGCCCCGGCCCCCACTCTGGTCTCTGGCCCCCACTCTGGTCTCTGGCCCCGGCCCCCACTCTGGTCTCTGGCCCCGGCCCCCACTCTGGTCTCTGGCCCCGGCCCCCCACTCTGGTCTCTGGCCCCGGCCCCCACTCTGGTCTCTGGCCCCGGCCCCCACTCTGGTCTCTGGCCCTGGCCCCCACTCTGGTCTCTGGCCCCGGCCCCCACTCTGGTCTCTGGCCCTGGCCCCCACTCTGGTCTCTCTCCCTCTGGTCTCATGACAGAATCCACAGACCTGACGAGTCCCACTCCGAACCCTGCGAATCTGTTCAGCTGCTCTGGAATCACAGGAAAAACACACGTTAAATAAAAAACATTAACTTTCAAAACGCTGCAATATTTACCACAAACTGAAACATTCTGTCTGTCTAAACATTTTTAGATCAGATGTTTCAGACAGAGAAGTGAAACTGAGAGGACCACCCCCGCTCAGCCAATCAGCTCTCAGTCCGGTCAAAGTTAAATCAGACCCCAGTATGAGATCTTCACCCAGTTAGAAAACATCTCATCTTTAGCAAACTTTTAAGTAAGAGTGAGTCACTATTTGACACTTTGGGATCAGAGGTTGTCTGTATGAAAACGCTGATCCAAAAGCTACGTTCCTCAGCTTTTTTAATATTTAATTTTGCCAACAGCGCAAACTGTCATCACTGCTCTGTCCTCTAGCAGCTGTCAGTGTTATTAGCCTGTTAGCATCTTGTTAGCTTCGTGTTAGCCACTAATGCTACAGCAGGCAGACACACAAACACGAGCCGACAGAAGGCGTGACAGTCCCGGTCATAAGTCCCGAGCTACCGGTCTCCACATGACCCCGTGTCCAAGCGGGGGTTTACCGGGTGAGAGCGCAGCAGTGACCGTTAGCATTAGCTTCTGTTAGCATTAGCTCCCGTTAGCTCGTGGTTAGCCGCGTTAGCCGCTACCTCCAGCCACCGCACGGACTCACCCGAGGGCGGCATCCCAGGCTGAGTGGTGTCCCAGCCGGCCTCAGCTCTGCCCCCTGCGGCCTCCTCGTACTGCGGGCTGCGGTGGAGGTTACGGGAGCCCGGGATGTCAGGAGGAGTGGTGACCCGGTACTGCAGATGATCCGGGGTGAGTCTGAAGCCCAGGCCATCGAAGCTGTCGGGCCGCCGAGAGGCCATGGTGCTGGGGGAAATGGGTCTCGGGTCCGGGGTCTCGGGTCCTGGACGGTGCTGGATCCTGGGTCTGGATCCACCTGCTCTGGAAGGACTCTCCACACACTGGCGCCCCTTAGCGGTCACACACGGGTATATCCTCCTCCTTGGTTGCATCCAAATTAATAAAACATACCTTCTTCCTTTGATTTAAATTCCAATAACTACAACTTAAAGCTGGAGTATGTAACTTTCAGACCACAACAATGGATGTATGTAATAAAGCCCATGTCACCGCTCTAAAACAGTTGCTTTTATCTGTAGTTTTCACATCTTTAGCTTTTACAGGTAGAGAAGTGGAAAGAGAGGACCACCCTCTCCGCCCAAAGAGTCAGATAGTGACTCCCAAGCCTCTTTCTTACACAGAAGATGTTTTCTAATGGGATGAAGACAGATATAAATAGGTCTTAAAAATCACAATGCCAAACCTATAGCTCTCTTAAGAACAGTCAATACATTTTCTTTTGCTTAATCCGGTGCCGGGTCACAGAGGCAGCAGACTGAGCAGAGACAGACACCTCATCCAGCTCATCTGGGGGACTCCTGAGGGTTCCCAGCTGAGAGACACAGTCCTCTGTGTCCTGGGTTTTCCCCTGGTTTCCTCCCGGTGGGACATACCCTGAACATGTGGAGGAGCAGCGGCTCTACTCTGAGCTCTTCCCCCTATGTCTTGTATCTGCGTTCTCGTCCTTTCGGTCATTACCCAGAAGAACAGTGAATTTGATGGATAAAACACACGTTTCATTGGAATAACGTTTATTTATAGAACATATAATTTCTCATGATTCCTACATTTCTCCAGACGAGTTTAAAACAGAGGATTCCTTCATGGCGTCTCTGATTGGTCCAAAAACACAAGGACTGGTTTAAAAGTTAAAAGGCCCGAGGTTTAACCCTCTGTGCGGGCGGTGTTGTCACTCACACGTTTGAACAGCAGTGAATAGGACACGTTTAAGCCATTCCCCACAGAGCCACATCCAGGGAGCTACACACAGGGAGCTACACGCACACACAGAGAGCTACACACAGGGAGCTACACGCACACACACAGGGAGCTACACGCACACACAGACCCACAAGAGGGAACTACACACACACACACACACACACACACACACACACACACAGAGGGCGCTACAAACGACTGCCCCACTGTGGATCCTGGTATTATAGCGGTCTCTCATCGCAGCACAAACCAGGACCAGCCCTGCTTAGCAAACATAAAATATGCTGCTAGCATTGGCACGAAATCAACAGGTTTACATATTTTGTAAAAGGAGGCATGGCCAGTGTCCATATTTGGTGAGAGGGGGCGTGACCTGTTTCAATATTTGGCAAAAGGGGGCGTGTCCTGTGGAGTCAAACGAAACGCCAGAATCTGAGCGTAAACAATGATTTATCTACAGCAGTTTGATCCAAAACTACAAAATAATTATGTGACAATCATGAAGCATTACAGCGTGACGTCTGTGAACAGAGTCTAAATCTAATAAATTATTTTAAGATAAATACTGCAACAAAAGACCCAGAAATCCAGAAGAATGACGTCCACAGGTTTACCAATGGAACAAGTCCAGCTTCAAACAAGTAGAGTGTGACATCACCACAGTGTGACATCACAACACTGAGTTAATGAAGAAGCCGCCGAATTGAACTGGAGTTGTAGCCAGTTTCCTTATATGGGCGTTTGTGACGCTGTTAGCTTTGCACCGTATCAGGAGCTAAGCACATGAGGAGACATGTTGCTAAGACGGTTGCTAAGGCAAACTGGAGTTTCCCTCTGAATAAAGGCCTCTGATTGGTCAGTCCTTATATGGGTATATCTGGATTTACAAAGACACATCACATATAAACACAGGATCACAGAGAAACCACAGATTTGAGGCCAAAATGGTGATGTCACACGTTACTGAGCTAGACGAGTTCAAGTTTACATGGAAGTCAATAAGAACACTTCACCATGAGCACTTCCCTGTTGGACTAGCGGGTTAGCACTGTCCGTCAGTGGAAGCTACACAGGAGACACTAGTTAATTCTGGGTTAGTGTAATGAATTTGAAAACAGAATTTAGCCAGAAGGGGCTGACATTGGTGTGGATGGAGGTAAACACAGCAGCAGGTCTGTGACGGATGCAGAACATGGACAAAAGACCATGTTGTGTATGTGTAAACTTAAGGGGTCCCTCAGGGCTCTGTTTTGGGCCCATAGTTTTTATTGGAAAGTTTTTTGGCCAAATACAAATGAATTCTTTTATCATTGCTGCACTGGGATGAGGCTGGAGAGAATGAGCCGTTTAAAACAAGAAGAGCTTGTTCCATTGGTAAATCTGTTTTTCTTGTTTCCAGCAGCTGCGATCTGATTGGCTCTAGACAATCACCATGGCGACAGAACAGAAGACATCCAGTGATGAGGCGTATGTGATGTAAGGTGCTCTAGAGTTTAAAATGACTTGTATTCAGGATTTTGTCTTTCAACAACGCTTCTGTCTTAGTTCAGAGGAGACCGGAGAGAGAGAGATCAGAACGGGACCAGAGAGAGCAAAGAGAGAGACCAGGACGGGACCAGAGTGTGCAAAGAGAGAGACCAGGATGGGACCAGAGAGAGCAAAGAGAGAGACCAGGATGGGACCAGAGAGAGCAAAGAGAGAGACCAGGATGGGACCAGAGAGAGCAAAGAGAGAGACCAGGATGGGACCAGAGAGAGCAAAGAGAGAGACCAGGACGGGACCAGAGTGTGCAAGGAGAGAGACCAGGACGGGACCAGAGTGTGCAAAGAGAGAGACCAGGATGGGACCAGAGAGAGCAAAGAGAGAGACCAGGACGGGACCAGAGTGTGCAAGGAGAGAGACCAGGATGGGACCAGAGAGCAAAGAGAGAGACCAGGATGGGACCAGAGTGTGCAAAGAGAGAGACCAGGATGGGACCAGAGAGAGCAAAGAGAGAGACCAGGATGGGACCAGAGAGAGCAAAGAGAGAGACCAGGATGGGACCAGAGAGAGCAAAGAGAGAGACCAGGATGGGACCAGAGAGAGCAAAGAGAGAGACCAGAGAGAGCAAAGAGAGAGACCAGGATGGGACCAGAGAGAGCAAAGAGAGAGACCAGAGAGAGCAAAGAGAGAGACCAGGATGGGACCAGAGAGAGCAAAGAGAGAGACCAGGGAGAGCAAAGAGAGAGACCAGAGAGAGCAAAGAGAGAGACCAGAGAGAGCAAAGAGAGAGACCAGAGAGAGCAAAGAGAGAGACCAGGACGGGACCAGAGAGAGCAAAGAGAGAGACCAGGACGGGACCAGAGAGAGCAAAGAGAGAGACCAGGACGGGACCAGAGAGAGCAAAGAGAGAGACCAGGACGGGACCAGAGAGAGCAAAGAGAGAGACCAGGACGGGACCAGAGAGAGCAAAGAGAGAGACCAGGATGGGACCAGAGAGAGCAAAGAGAGCAAAAAGCCACACATTAAATTAAAACAGACGGCGATATCAAAAACCTGAATTCAAGCCATGGGTAACACAGAGACGAGATTTCTGCAGCGAATCCAGAGTCTGAGAGTGAATCTTGGCCACAAACGGCTGTGGGAGGGCATCAGGTGTGTCTCCAAAGGCACTTGGTCAGTCGCACTGAACGCAGGCTGCAGTTCACGTGTTTGTCCACATGATGGCGCTGTGGGGACACTGTGGGAGTAGTGCTACGTCCTGCTTACACCACCGCTCAAAAGTCTGTCTGGGAGCGCTCCGTTCTTCATAGCTCATGGTTAAAACTGAGGCTGGGAACATAGAGCTCTGACTGCAGACGCTGCTCCCTCTTCATCACAACAGTCCGACACAGCGGCCGCATCACTGCAGACGCCGCACCGACCGCTCACGCTCCAGGCTCAGACAGAACATCTTTTGAACGGTTGTTTAGGTCTGGGTCTGGTTTGTTGTTTTGGTGATTGTGTTAGTAGTGACTTGGGTCTGGTCCTGGTCCTGGTCCTGGTTCTGGCTCTGGCTCTGGGTCTGGTGATTGTATTAGTAAGTGACTTGGGTCTGGTCCTGGTCCTGGTCCTGGTTCTGGCTCTGGGTCTGGTGATTGTATTAGTAAGTGACTTGGGTCTTGTCCTGGTCCTGTCCTGGTCCTGGCCCGGGTCAGTGGCAGTGCTCAGTGATGTCGACCACTATAGCCTTCCTCCAGCTGAACAGGAAGTATCCGGCCCCGGCGCCTATCGCCACGGCGATACACAGGAAGCCATTATACGTCATGAAGACGAGCATCAAGATGTAGCTCAAGACCACCTGAAACACACACACACACACACACACAAAATAATGAATGTGAAAACCTTCAGTCTCTAGATGTGCACAGACAGATACTTTAGATGCTGCTCCTGTCACTCACCTGAAGAATGTGCAGCAGCGTCTGGAGGAAGTGGGCGGGGCTTAACATCCTCTGTCTGAAAGAGAAACACGTCACAGGTGAGGTCTCTGGTCCGGTCTCTCTGCCCCCGGTCTCTCTCTGGCCCTGTCCCTGTCTCCCCTGGTCTTACCCCACGGTCTTGTGGGTCTCCATGAGGACCGTCCCGTCCGACCCGGGCAGTGGCATGCTGTTGTAGCGCACGTTGACCTGGCTCCGCCTCAGAAGAACCTCTCGTCCAATCTTCAGCCCCTCATACAGAGCAGCCAATAGGAACACTCCCAGGCACGCCACCACCATCTCTGATTGGACAAGCACACAAGGGGCGGGATTAGTCCTGGGTCTACAGCCTGGGTCCTGGGTCTACAGCCTCGGTCCTGGGTCTACAGCCTCGGTCCTGGGTCTACAGCCTCGGTCCTGGGTCTACAGCCTCGGTCCTCACCCCCTGCAGAGTTGATGACCAGACCAGGGAACAGCAGCTCCACGTTTTTGAAACCGAAGTAAAACGTCATGACCTGAAACAGGAACAGGAGGTTGGTTGGACGGATGGACTGTTGTTTTTGTGCCAATAAAGTTGTGTAGTTTTGAACTGTTTGTGTAAAGCTGTATAAATAAATTGGAGTTTGTCATTTCTTCACAGACAGATGCAGACGTACCATGCCCATGTGGCCCTCGTGCTCGCCGCCGTGCCCGCCCTCGTGGCCGCCGCCTGTGGTCATGGAGGGGGCGGAGGTCATGGCGTGGTGGGCGTGGCCACTGTGATCCATGTGTGAATGATTCATCTGTGAAAGAGCATAAGATATACACAAATAAATCTGATCTACAACATGAGAAGATTCAGGGGGGAGGAGGGAGAGGAGAGGGGGGGAGAGGAGGAGAGGAGAGGAGAGGGGGGAGAAGGAGAAGAGAGGAGGGGGAGAGAAGGAGAGGACAAGGTAAGGAGAGGAGAGGGGGGAGAGAAGGAGGTAAGGAGAGGAGAGGGGGGAAGGAGGAGGTAAGGAGAGGAGAGGGGAGAGAAGGAGGAGAGGAGGGGAGAGGGGGGAAGGAGGAGAGGAGGGGAGGGTGAGGATGATGAAGAGGTGAGGGGCAGAGGAGGAGAGAGGGGTGGAGGAGAGGAGAAGGAGAAAAGGGGGGAGAGGAGAGGAAAGAGGGGACAGAAGGAGGAGCAGGAGGAATGAAGAGGGGGAGGGGGGAGGACAAAGAATAAAAGCAGAAATGAAGCCCGTGAAGCGATATGAAGAGGCGGTTGGAAGCTTCGAGCCGAGTCGAGCCGAGCCGAGCCCGAGTCGAGTCGAGTCGAGTCGAGCCCGAGTCGAGCCCGAGTCGAGCCCGAGTCGAGCCCGAGTTGAGCCGAGTCGAGTCGAGTCGAGCCGAGCCCGAGTCGAGCCGAGCCGAGCTCGAGTCGAGCCCGAGTCGAGCCGAGTCGAGCCCGAGTCGAGCCCGAGTCGAGCCGAGCCGAGTCGAGCCCGAGTCCGAGTCGAGCCCGAGTCGAGCCGAGCCGAGCCCGAGTCGAGTCCGAGTCCGAGTCGAGCCCGAGTCGAGCCGAGCCCGAGTCGAGCCGAGCCCGAGTCGAGCCGAGTAATGTAGAGTAAAGTAAACAGCGATGACCCGTGTGTCATCGTCGACTACAAGCGATGATTCTGTGTTTGACAAATGTCATGAGCAACATGTTTCAGAAAACATATTGTAGTCGACTAAAACTAAATCAAACCAGACAGTAATGTATCTAAACACATGTTAGTGAGAGACTAAACCAGAACGCAGTGACAGTAATGTATCTAAACACATGTTAGTGAGAGACTAAACCAGAACGCAGTGACAGTAATGTATCTAAACACATGTTAGTGAGAGACTAAACCAGAACGCAGTGACAGTAATGTATCTAAACACATGTTAGTGAGAGACTAAACCAGAACGCAGTGACGCAGCTTTAAAGGTCCTACCTGTGTCCTCTGCCCTCGCACTGATCTGAGCCGTCACTGTCCTCCCGTTACCGCGGCGTCGGCAGCATCACTGCTGTAACCACGGAGACGGCTCCAGACGCACAGCCCTAATGCGATTGGCTGCAGCGCCTGGGGGCAAAACAAGCGCCACAGCCAATCACAGAGCAGCGTTCGGGGCATCAGATAAGGACACATGTAACCCGTTTAAAGTTTAGAGGAAACAGACCAACGGGGAAGTGCTCATGGTGAAGGCTTCTCTGGTCTCTCTCTCTCTCTGGTCTCTCTCTCTCTGGTCTCTCTCTCTCTTAACGAGCGTTTGGGGTCAGGGGTCAGCAGAACACATAACGAGGACACGCACTGAACTCTGGACTCATAAACGAATAAAGCCTCAAGAGGAAGTGCCAGGAGAACCACATGTGATGCCACAGGAGGAGGTGGCAGGAGAACCACATGTGATGCCACAGGAGGAGGTGGCAGGAGAACCACATGTGATGCCACAGGAGGAGGTGGCAGGAGAACCACATGTGATGCCACAGGAGGAGGTGGCAGGAGAACCACATGTGATGCCACAGGAGGAGGTGGCAGGAGAACCACATGTGATGCCAGAGGAGGAGGTGGCAGGAGAACCACATGTGATGCCCCAGGAGGAGGTGGCAGGAGAACCACATGTGATGCCACAGGAGGAGGTGGCAGGAGAACCACATGTGATGCCCCAGGAGGAGGTGGCAGGAGTCCACATGTGATGCCCCAGGAGGAGGTGGCAGGAGAACCACATGTGATGCCACAGGAGGAGGTGGCAGGAGTCCACATGTGATGCCACAGGAGGAGGTGGCAGGAGAACCACATGTGATGCCAGAGGAGGAGGCAGGAGAACCACATGTGATGCCACAGGAGGAGGTGGCAGGAGAACCACATGTGATGCCCCAGGAGGAGGTGGCAGGAGAACCACATGTGATGCCACAGGAGGAGGTGGCAGGAGTCCACATGTGATGCCACAGGAGGAGGTGGCAGGAGAACCACATGTGATGCCACAGGAGGAGGTGGCAGGAGTCCACATGTGATGCCACAGGAGGAGGTGGCAGGAGAACCACATGTGATGCCCCAGGAGGAGGTGGCAGGAGAACCACATGTGATGCCCCAGGAGGAGGTGGCAGGAGAACCACATGTGATGCCCCAGGAGGAGGTGGCAGGAGAACCACATGTGATGCCACAGGAGGAGGTGGCAGGAGAACCACATGTGATGCCCCAGGAGGAGGTGGCAGGAGAACCACATGTGATGCCACAGGAGGAGGTGGCAGGAGAACCACATGTGATGCCCCAGGAGGAGGTGGCAGGAGAACCACATGTGATGCCCCAGGAGGAGGTGGCAGGAGAACCACATGTGATGCCCCAGGAGGAGGTGGCAGGAGAACCACATGTGATGCCACAGGAGGAGGTGGCAGGAGAACCACATGAATGAGTTTGGCTCCAAATGTCTCAATATTGATTAAAGACGAGACATTTTGAGTTAAAAACATGAAACTTAAAGTTTTGTTGCTTTTTTGGTCACATTTTGAAAGTTCACGATACTGATAAAACAGCAGTAGCAGCAGCAGTAACAGTAGCAGTAGTAGTAGCAGCAGTAGTAGTAGCAGTAGTAGCAGTAGCAGTAGTAGTAGCAGTAGTAGTAGCAGTAGTAGCAGCAGCAGCAGCAGCAGTAACAGTAGCAGTAGTAGCAGCAGTAGCAGCAGTAGCAGCAGCAGTAGACTGACCAGGGCTGAGGTCACTGACTCCTGTTTTAAAGTCTCTCACCTTCAGCCTCTCGCTTCTTTCTTCTTTCTTTTGCTGCTTCTTCGCGGTTGATCTTGTGGATGTTGTTAAAGTTGTTAAAGTTGTTAAAGTGCAGAAGTCGCGGGTGAATCTGATGAACGGATAAAATCTGAGTGAGTTTTTCTTCTGTTTCGTGTTTAGAGAAAATCCTGACGTTGACGCGGGGACAGAGAACCACTTCCACGTCTGTGTGTGACGTCAGCGCGGAGGCACGTGAGCAGCGCCGCGTGGTGTGGGGACGTGCTCGTTCCTGTATATATTTTTATTTTAGATCATTTTATTTAATTATTTCATCGAGTGACTTTTTCTATACTTTTGATCAGTAACTAATATAACTTGAATCTTTTAGATGGTCATAGACCGTATATTAGGATACATTTTTACGTATCTTGAGAAAGCGTGTGGTCGTTACCATGGTGACTGCGGCGGCCATCTTGTGTTTCCAGAAAAGCAATAAAGTCATAAATAACAGTAAAAAAACCATGTATAAATGTAGCGTACAGTGATTGAAAGCACGTGTTCTTATGTATCTGGGTCTGGACTGGTCTACAGGTCTAAAGTCCATGGTGCAACCAAAGAGTCCAGGGCGAGACCAGAGAGAGAGACAGGAGAGAGACCAGAGAGAGACCAGAGAGAGACCAGAGAGAGACCAGTGAGAGACCAGAGAGAGAGACCAGAGAGAGACCAGAGAGAGACCAGAGAGAGACCAGAGAGAGACCAGAGAGAGACCAGAGAGAGAGACAGGAGAGAGAAACCAGAGAGAGACCAGAGAGAGACCAGAGAGAGACCAGAGAGAGACCAGAGAGAGACCAGAGAGAGACCAGAGAGAGACCAGAGATAGAGACAGGAGAGAGAAACCAGAGAGAGAGACCAGAGAGAGACCAGAGAGAGACCAGAGAGAGAGACCAGAGAGAGAGACCAGAGAGAGAGACCAGAGAGAGAGACAGGAGAGAGAAACCAGAGAGAGACCAGAGAGAGACCAGAGAGAGAGACCAGAGAGAGAGACCAGAGAGAGAGACCAGAGAGAGAGACAGGAGAGAGAAACCAGAGAGAGACCAGAGAGAGACCAGAGAGAGACCAGAGAGATAGAGACAGGAGAGAGAGACCAGAGAGAGAGACCAGAGAGAGACCAGAGAGAGACCAGAGAGAGACCAGAGAGAGACCAGAGATAGAGACAGGAGAGAGAAACCAGAGAGAGAGACCAGAGAGAGACCAGAGAGAGACCAGAGAGAGAGACCAGAGAGAGAGACCAGAGAGAGAGACCAGAGAGAGAGACCAGAGAGAGAGACAGGAGAGAGAAACCAGAGAGAGACCAGAGAGAGACCAGAGAGAGAGACCAGAGAGAGAGACCAGAGAGAGAGACCAGAGAGAGAGACAGGAGAGAGAAACCAGAGAGAGACCAGAGAGAGACCAGAGATAGAGACAGGAGAGAGAGACCAGAGAGAGAGACCAGAGAGAGAGACCAGAGAGAGAGACCAGAGAGAGAGACCAGAGAGAGGCCAGAGAGAGGCCAAGGATTGTCTGGCCTTAGCCATTGGTAAACTCTGCTCAATTATTATTTCCCTGAATGTACTTTGTAGTGTGGTGTGGTACGACCATAGACTGTAAAAATTAAAGACCAGGCTAGGCCAGGGAGAGACCAGAGGGAGACTAATCCTGCATCCAAACAGTGATTTGGATTACTTGTTTATGGGCAGAGTTGTCTCAGAACCTTTTGAGTCATACTCACAGACAGACAGACAAATGCAGGTGATCACTTCACCTCCTGAGCAAAGATAAAAGATAATAATAAAGTCTTTATTTGAGGTCGTAAACGAGACAAAGGTGCAGGAGTTCAAGTCTTCACCAGCGACTTATGTTACAGTGGCAGTAAAGGTTACGGCCACTAAACAGGTCTGAACCAGGTCTAAACCAGGTCTGAACCAGGTCTGGCCAGGTCTGAACCAGGTCTGAACCAGGTCTGAACCAGGTCTGAACCAGATCTGAACCAGATCTAAACCAGGTCTGAACCAGATCTAAACAGGTCTGAACCAGGTCTGAACCAGGTCTGAACCAGATCTAAACCAGGTCTGAACCAGATCTAAACAGGTCTGAACCAGGTCTGAACCAGATCTAAACCAGGTCTGAACCAGATCTAAACAGGTCTGAACCAGGTCTGAACCAGGTCTGAACCAGATCTAAACCAGGTCTGAACCAGATCTAAACAGGTCTGAACCAGGTCTGAACCAGATCTAAACCAGGTCTAAACCAGGTCTGAACCAGGTAGATCAGATCACTGATCAGAAGGAAGTATTACTAAACTCTCCATTGTTCTGAGCGGATAGACCGGTTTGAGTGAAAACAAATCAGACTTATTTTTAATTCAATCATTTACGAGAATAAAGAGGAGGGTTTCCTTGTGTTTCAGGTCTTTCCACAAACGAGTTTCTGTCGCACCGAGGATCACACGGCCCTTATCTGAAGCAGGAGTCACGATAACCAATGACCAGGGGCGGCGCCGAGAGGGGGCCCAGGGGGACACAATCCTCATGATTATGTCAACAACATGTTACAATACTGTCACTGAACCCTTTGACTTCACCTTTTCTACTGGTTCCACTTTACAGCTCTCTGATTGGTCGCTGCACGTGTGGCCGAAAGAAAAAAATCAACAATGTTTATCTTCTGCCTGCGTTGATTTGCCGCTACCGCGCAGGAGACATGCAAGGGGACCGAGAGATCAGTAACACATGTGAATTTAGTCTGCTGTACCAGGGACAGCTATAAGTTAGTAATACCTTATCCAGATATTATTATAGATTCTTGGTCTGAACGCCTCATGACTCTTCTTTCCTGATTGTCAGGTGAACGTTTGCCTGGTCGCACCACACCATAGTACAAATGACATTTCATACTAAGGTCTGGATTGTCTCCATTGACTCCGTGAACAGGTGGGAGGGGCTAACTCCTTTTGCAGATTGAAACCATTGGATCTGAGTTTATCGTCACGTTTGTAATACGCCCGAGTGAGTCGTTAGCATTTAGCCTAGCTTTAGCCATCTCCTTTGCTGCTAACGGAGCTTGTGGGGAGTAGCGCCACAACATCTTTGCAGCGATTACATTTACTAAACATTCCTCTTGCTCCGGCTTCAGTTTCTTGATAGAACCAGACCAGAATACTTTACTGTCACATTCTTCGCCAATCTACAACCTGCCCGTTCAACGCAAACTCTTGACGTCACCCACAACTAATTAGAACACCCGCCTCCCGCGCTCTCTGATTGGTCGGATAGAATTCAACCGATTGTAATCGCAAACACAGGGACCAGACCCAGACGTTACATGCAGGAAATTATGATTGAGTGTAGGATGGATAAGGCCAGGCGGGTCAGCACTAGATCATATACGGAATCTGGACGGAAGCAGAAGTTAATATAACCCCCCCCCCCCCCCCCTAACCCTAACCCTAACCCTAACCCTAACCAGCCTTAACCCTAACCTTAACCATCTTACTCAGACCACCTTAAACTTAAACAGTCACCACTTAAGGACATATTAGTCTAAAACTAATTCGAAAGTAGGATTGTTACTTCCGGTTTCGTACCGATTTTGTTTATGATCTAGTGCCGACCAGTCTAGGTGCACGTTAGAAACGCCACACTGTGTTTACAGACAAAGAGCAGCGCCCCTCTGAGGACCATAAAGGTACTGCGAGCAAATGAAACCAGGTCTGAATGGTCAAAACCAGGTCTGAACCAGGTCGAAACCAGCTCTAATCTAGGTCTAAAGCAAGTCTAAAGCAGGACTAAAGCAGGACTAAAGCAGGACTAAAGCAGGACTAAAGCAGGACTAAAGCAGGACTAAAGCAAGACTAAAGCAGGTCTAAAGCAGGTCTAAAGCAGGTCTAAAGCAGGTCTAAAACAGGTCTAAAGCAGAACTAAAGCAGGTCTGCACCAGGTCTCGTTGCGCCCCTCAGAGGATCATAAAGGTACTGCGAGAAATGGATACGACCTTTTATTGTGAAGATGCGAAGCGGAAGCAGAGAGGGATTCTAAGATGGCGGCCGCCGCTGAGTCTATCCACCATCCGCTCCCTTTTCTCACCATTAACGCGCGCTCCCGCGGTTAAAGAGCGCTCCTGCATCGGCATGAGGTGCGCGTGAGCGCGGCGCCGATGGTGCGCGTGACCCGAAGCGTGCTGTTGCACGTGCTCGCGCTCTGCAGTTGCGCGTTCCTATTGTTCCAGATATGCTACTACCGGAAGTACGTCATCAAGGTGCGACAACGAAACACCTGTATTGGTCTCTGTTATGTATACTGAACTGTAGAGAATGTAACTGACTACTTTAACTCACTGACTGCCAGGCATTTTCAGATTTGAGAAGTGCGTTCTGCCAGCAATTTCAGGTGATTTGACCCAACTTTGAAGTGCCACAGAATATTCATTTTTTAGACAATGTAAACACCAAGGGCACCAAATTAAAGATTAACCTCTCTGCTTTACTCTGAAAAAAACAGTTTGTTTCTACCTCTTACCGTTCTTGAGCTATTCGCCATAGAACAAAGCATACTTTCACCCACAACACCTGGTCTGAGCAAGAAAACAGAGAAAACGAGCTGTATGTAAACAGGAACATATCAAGCAGAAAAGTGACTTTTAGATGCATTTTTGCTGCTTTAGTGACAACTCAAAACATCTTCACACTTGTTCTATTACAAAAATTATAAAAACATGACTCTGAAATAATACTTTTGATGGCAAATTGTTGGCAATTTATTCACAGATAGAAAATTTAACTTTCTTCTATTCCATCAACCAAAACGTCAAACAACAACAACACAAAGATCAATAAAACTATAGCTGTATAAAATAGAATGACGCGTGTGAATTTGAGTGTGTGTGTGTGAATGTCAGTGTGCGAGTGAGTGCGTGTGTGTCGGTGTGCGCGTAAGTGAGTGCGTGTGTGTGTTTGTGTGTGTGTGCGTGTGAGTGTTCGTGAGTGTGTGTATGAGTGAGTTCATCTGCTTTTTCAGTCATCCCAGTAGTTCAGCTTTGAGTTGTAGAGGTGGAAACACTGTGTGCAACGGAACACGACACGCTGTGTACCATTTGTAGTTCTCCCTCCGTGAAGAAGAGCTCCAGAAAGTCTGGATCAGATGAATCCAGCTCCAGAAAGTCTGGATCAGATGAATCCAGCTCCAGAAAGTCTGGATCAGATGAATCCAGCTTCGCAGCCTCTGTCTGCAGTCTCTGAGGTCCAGGAGCTCCTGTGAAGGGCAACTGACTCGGCTCCCACTGATCCTCCTGTCAGCCATCTTCCCCAGAGCTTCTGGGTGACGAACGTGCTGGAAAATGGATACACACAATAACTATATTATACAGTGAATTTGTTACAATAAATCAATACATAAAATACAATGAAGGCCTTCCTCCCACATTATTGACTGACTACTTTTGGACCAAACAAATATACTATATTATTATTATATTATATTGCCATGGGATGTACAAGAATAGAAATAGTTCTTTTACCTTTTTTGTGCACAGCAACTGCCTCTTGATGCACCACCTGTAAATAATATAAATTTGTAAATCACTATACCAGTAGAATATATACAATAATATGTACAATGGTATGAGGAGGCATTATCTTTACCTCCATGCTCTGTCAACCCCAATGGGGGAGGGCTCTTTTATCAGAATCTGTGAATGAACACATTTCATTTAGTCAGAGCTATGTCACTGCAACAAGATGTTCAAGTATGAAATAACTAAACATAAAAATAATAAATACAACAATGATAAAACTTATAACTGGCATTTACTAAAGAAACAGTAGGATTTGAGCGCTGTGTTACTTTGCAGATCAGAGCAAGTTTCCGCGCCTTTCCCTCCTCTCAAGTTTGCATATTCTTGGCAATTTAGCAAGTTCTTACCTTCGACTCTTTGTGGAGCTTCTGGAGAGGATGCTCTGCTGGATTGAGACTGCAACCACTCATCCGATAAATCATGATCAGGTTTGCTGAACGAATCCGAGGCATCAGTAACAGCAGCAGCTGATACGCTGCGAGAGGCGGAAGGTGTGTCTCTGCTCCGGGCTCTGGGCTGCAGAGACGGACCTCCACCGGGGTCTCCACTCTCTCCCCTCTCGACCTCACTCTCTGATCCGCGAGTCAATCTCTGAAGCAGTGTACACTGCTTATAACTATTCTTTTTCGCCATCACTCTTGCTATACTATTGCTAAACTAGATCGCTGATCCGTCTCAATGCTACGCTATCATCGCTCGCTCTGCTACAGCAGCACGCTCTCCAAACTCTGACTTATGACCTCTCCTGTGGTGCAATACTGCATCCTACTGGTGTTGATTTATCATTACAGGTACATTTGCACTATATATCAGTGTTGTGGGTCATTCACAAGGTGCGCCAGACATTACTGCAGCCTCCCGTGTAATAACATGAAAAACTCGTCAAACTCGTCATGGGCAGTGAGCGTTACTATTCAACATGACGAGTTTTGTCGTCATGGGCAGTGAATGAGTTAATGTATACTGAACTATATAGACTAATGTATACTGAACCTAGACTATATAGACTAATGTATACTGAACCTAGACTATATAGACTAATGTATACTGAACCTAGACTATATAGACTAATGTATACTGAACCTAGACTATATAGACTAATGTATACTGAACCTAGACTATATAGACTAATGTATACTGAACCTAGACTATATAGACTAATGTATACTGAACCTAGACTATATAGACTAATGTATACTGAACCTAAACTATATAGACTAATGTATACTGAAACTAGACTATATAGACTAATGTATACTGAAACTAGACTATATAGACTAATGTATACTGAAACTAGACTATATAGACTAATGTATACTGATACTGTAACTTCATGTCATGTTTTATAACAACTGGTCACATCTCAGAAGCAAAGCAGGTCTTGTCCTGGTCAGAGCTGTGATGTGAGACCGCTGTAACTCTAGGGCCACAGTGGTGTTGTTTCCTTTAGCAGGGTTCTTCTCGGTCGGCACTAGATCATAAACGGAATCAGGACGAAACCGGAAGTAAAAATCCTTCTTTCGAATTAGTTTTAGACTAATATGTTAAGTTAAGTGGGGACTGGTTAAGTTTTAGGTGGTCTGAGTAAGATGGTTAATACGCAGAAACAAAGTGTCCTATCATAACTATGCAGACGACACTCAGATCTATGTCTCACTGACTGCAGGAGAACATGGACCAGTGGACTCACTCCTTCACTGTATCCAACAGATCAGTGAGTGGATGCAAAACAACTTCCTTCAGCTAAACGCAGACAAAACTGAAATGATTGTCTTTGGTCCCCAGAAACAAAGAGAGAGCGTCATCTGTCACCTACAGTCTCTCTCCCTAAAACCTTCAAACAAGGTCAGAAATCTAGGGGTAATACTGGACTCAGACTTAAATTTTAATAGCCACATCAAATCAGTAACATCAGCAGCTTTTTACCATCTAAAAAACATTGCCAGGATCAAAAACATAGTGTCTAAAGCAGACATGGAGATTCTTATCCATGCATTTGTCTCCAGTAGGTTAGACTACTGCAATGGCCTGCTCACAGGTCTGTCCAAACAGGCTGTAAAACAGCTGCAGTACATTCAAAATGCAGCGAGCAGCGCCAGTCCTGACTAGAACCAGGAAGTACGACCACATTAGTCCTGACTAGAACCAGGAAGTACGACCACATTAGTCCTGACTAGAACCAGGACGTACGACCACATTAGTCCTGACTAGAACCAGGAAGTACGACCACATTAGTCCTGACTAGAACCAGGAAGTACGACCACATTAGTCCTGACTAGAACCAGGAAGTACGACCACATTAGTCCTGACTAGAACCAGGAAGTACGACCACATTAGTCCTGACTAGAACCAGGAAGTACGACCACATTAGTCCTGACTAGAACCAGGAAGTACGACCACATTAGTCCTGACTAGAACCAGGAAGTACGACCACATTAGTCCTGACTAGAACCAGGAAGTACGACCACATTAGTCCTGACTAGAACCAGGAAGTACGACCACATTAGTCCTGACTAGAACCAGGAAGTACGACCACATTAGTCCTGACTAGAACCAGGAAGTACGACCACATTAGTCCTGACTAGAACCAGGAAGTACGACCACATTAGTCCTGACTAGAACCAGGAAGTACGACCACATTAGTCCAGACTAGAACCAGGAAGTACGACCACATTAGTCCTGACTAGAACCAGGAAGTACGACCACATTAGTCCTGACTAGAACCAGGAAGTACGACCACATTAGTCCTGACTAGAACCAGGAAGTACGACCACATTAGTCCTGACTAGAACCAGGAAGTACGACCACATTAGTCCTGACTAGAACCAGGAAGTACGACCACATTAGTCCTGACTAGAACCAGGAAGTACGACCACATTAGTCCAGACTAGAACCAGGAAGTACGACCACATTAGTCCTGACTAGAACCAGGAAGTACGACCACATTAGTCCTGACTAGAACCAGGAAGTACGACCACATTAGTCCTGACTAGAACCAGGAAGTACGACCACATTAGTCCTGACTCGAACCAGGAAGTACGACCACATTAGTCCTGACTAGAACCAGGAAGTACGACCACATTAGTCCTGACTAGAACCAGGAAGTACGACCACATTAGTCCTGACTAGAACCAGGAAGTACGACCACATTAGTCCTGACTAGAACCAGGAAGTACGACCACATTAGTCCAGTTCTCAGGCCTCTGCACTGGCTTCCTGTGGCTCAGAGAATAGACTTTAAAACAGCTCTGCTTGTTACAAGTCTCTCCATGGCCTCGCACCAAAATATATTAGTGACATGTTAGTCCCATATGAACCAGCCCGGACTCTGAGGAGCACAGGGACTGGACTCCTGCTGGGACTCTGAGGAGCACAGGGACTGGTCTCCTGCTGGGACTCTGAGGAGCACAGGGACTGGACTCCTGCTGGGACTCTGAGGAGCACAGGGACTGGACTCCTGCTGGGACTCTGAGGAGCACAGGGACTGGCCTCCTGCTGGGACTCTGAGGAGCACAGGGACTGGCCTCCTGCTGGGACTCTGAGGAGCACAGGGACTGGACTCCTGCTGGGACTCTGAGGAGCACAGGGACTGGACTCCTGCTGGGACTCTGAGGAGCACAGGGACTGGACTCCTGTTAGTGCCCAGAGTCAGAACTAAATATGGGGAGGCTGCTTTTCAGATTCATGCTGCTAAAATCTGGAACAGTCTTCCTGAAGATGTGAGACAGGCCTCCTCTCTGACAGTGTTTAAAACCAGGTTAAAGACAGTTCTGTTTAGCTGTGCTACAACTGAGGGATTTTATATTTTTATCTTTCTTTTTAATGTTCTGTGATTATTTATGATTTTAATGCTTTCTTGTTTTGTTCAGCACTTTGAGTTGCCTTGTGTATGAATTGTGCTATATAAATAAACTTGCCTTGCCTAAGGTTAGGGTTAAGGTCTGGGTTATTTTATGGGAATGTCTGGTTAAGTTTAGGCATGAGTTTAGTTTGTTATATTTACTTCCGCTTCTGTCCCGATTCCGTTTATGACCTAGTGCCGACCGGTTCTTCTCGTTTAATCTCTTCCATTTCCTGTTTCAGACGGAGCCCCGCCCCCCAAGTCCTGACAGCCAATGGGTTAGCTCCTCTACCTATCTGTAAAACTGCACAATAATAATGACGAGCTGCTGTATTTTGTGGACTCAGTAATTCTCTCTCCGGGGATGGTTCTGGTCTCTCTCTGGTCTAACATGGTTCTGGTCTCTTTCTGGTCTCTCTCTCTGGTCTAACATGATTCTGGTCTCTTTCTGGTCTCTCTCTCTCTGGTCTAACATGGTTCTGGTCTCTCTCAGGTCTCAGTCCGGTCCTTCCTGTCTGCAGCTCACAGTTGCCGTCTCCCTGTGTTCCTCATCGATGTCTCAGTGCTGAACTCAATTTCCCACAATACACCTGGACGTGGCCACTGCAACTTCCTGTGTCAGCGGCCAATCACAGCCTTTGGCCTCAACCTGAAGCACTGGAGTCATGATGTGAGATCAACCAGCCCTGGACCGGTTTAGACCAGTCATAAACCTCTCTGGTGTCTCTCTCTGGTCTCTCTCTCTGGTCTCTCTCTGGTCTCTCTCTCTGGTCTCTCTCTCTGGTCTCTCTCTCTGCTCTCTCTCTGGTCTCTCTCTCTGGTCTCTCTCTCTCTCTGGTCTCTCTCTCTGGTCTCTCACTGGTCTCTCTCTGGTCTCTCTCTCTGGTCTCTCTCTCTGGTCTCTCTCTCTGGTCTCTCTCTCTGGTCTCTCTCTCTGCTCTCTCTCTCTGGTCTCTCTCTCTGGTCTCTCTCTCTGCTCTCTCTCTCTGCTCTCTCTCTCTGCTCTCTCTCTGCTCTCTCTCTCTGGTCTCTCTCTCTGCTCTCTCTCTCTGCTCTCTCTCTGGTCTCTCTCTCTGCTCTCTCTCTCTGCTCTCTCTCTCTGCTCTCTCTCTGGTCTCTCTCTCTGGTCTCTCTCTCTGGTCTCTCTCTGGTCTCTCTCTCTGGTCTCTCTCTCTCTCTGGTCTCTCTCTCTGGTCTCTCTCTCTGGTCTCTCTCTCTGGTCTCTCTCTCTGCTCTCTCTCTGGTCTCTCTCTCTGGTCTCTCTCTCTCTCTGGTCTCTCTCTCTGGTCTCTCACTGGTCTCTCTCTGGTCTCTCTCTCTGGTCTCTCTCTCTGGTCTCTCTCTCTGGTCTCTCTCTCTGGTCTCTCTCTCTGCTCTCTCTCTCTGGTCTCTCTCTCTGCTCTCTCTCTCTGCTCTCTCTCTCTCTGCTGTCTCTCTCTGGTCTCTCTTTCTGGTCTCTCTCTCTGCTCTCTCTCTGGTCTCTCTCTCTGGTCTCTCTCTCTCTCTGGTCTCTCTCTCTGGTCTCTCTCTGGTCTCTCTCTCTGGTCTCTCTCTCTGGTCTCTCTCTCTGGTCTCTCTCTCTGGTCTCTCTCTCTGGTCTCTCTCTGGTCTCTCTCTGGTCTCTCTCTCTCTGGTCTCTCTCTCTGGTCTCTCTCTCTGGTCTCTCTCTCTGGTCTCTCTCTCTGGTCTCTCTCTCTGTTCTCTCTCTCTGGTCTCTCTCTCTGGTCTCTCTCTCTGGTCTCTCTCTCTGGTCTCTCTCTCTGGTCTCTCTCTCTGGTCTCTCTCTCTGCTCTCTCTCTCTGGTCTCTCTCTCTGGTCTCTCTCTCTGGTCTCTCTCTCTGCTCTCTCTCTCTGGTCCCTCTCTCTGGTCTCTCTCTCTGGTCTCTCTCTCTCTGCTCTCTCTCTCTGGTCTCTCTCTGGTCTCTCTCTCTGGTCTCTCTCTCTGGTCTCTCTCTCTGGTCTCTCTCTCTGGTCTCTCTCTGGTCTCTCTCTCTGGTCTCTCTCTGGTCTCTCTCTGGTCTCTCTCTGTCTCTCTCTGGTCTCTCTCTCTGGTCTCTCTCTCCTCTCTCTCTCTGGTCTCTCTCTCTGGTCTCTCTCTCTGGTCTCTCTCTCTGGTCTCTCTCTCTGGTCTCTCTCTCTGGTCTCTCTCTCTGGTCTCTCTCTCTGGTCTCTCTCTCTGGTCTCTCTCTCTGGTCTCTCTCTCTGGTCTCTCTCTCTGGTCTCTCTCTCTGGTCTCTCTCTCTGGTCTCTCTCTCTGCTCTCTCTCTCTGCTCTCTCTCTCTGGTCCTCTCTCTCTGGTCCCTCTCTCTGGTCTCTCTCTCTGGTCTCTCTCTCTGCTCTCTCTCTCTGGTCTCTCTCTGGTCTCTCTCTCTGGTCTCTCTCTCTGGTCTCTCTCTGGTCTCTCTCTCTGGTCTCTCTCTGGTCTCTCTCTCTGGTCTCTCTCTGGTCTCTCTCTCTGGTCTCTCTCTCTGCTCTCTCTCTCTGGTCTCTCTCTCTGGTCTCTCTCTCTGGTCTCTCTCTCTGGTCTCTCTCTCTGCTCTCTCTCTCTGGTCTCTCTCTCTGCTCTCTCTCTCTGGTCTCTCTCTCTGGTCTCTCTCTCTGGTCTCTCTCTCTGGTCTCTCTCTCTGCTCTCTCTCTCTGGTCTCTCTCTCTGCTCTCTCTCTCTGGTCTCTCTCTCTGCTCTCTCTCTCTGGTCTCTCTCTGGTCTCTCTCTCTGGTCTCTCTCTCTGGTCTCTCTCTCTGGTCTCTCTCTCTGGTCTCTCTCTCTGGTCTCTCTCTCTGGTCTCTCTCTCTCTGGTCTCTCTCTCTGGTCTCTCTCTCTGCTCTCTCTCTCTGGTCTCTCTCTCTGGTCTCTCTCTCTGCTCTCTCTCTCTCTGGTCTCTCTCTGCTCTCTCTCTCTGGTCTCTCTCTGGTCTCTCTCTCTGGTCTCTCTCTGGTCTCTCTCTCTGGTCTCTCTCTCTGGTCTCTCTCTCTGGTCTCTCTCTCTGGTCTCTCTCTCTGGTCTCTCTCTCTGGTCTCTCTCTCTGGTGTGGTGATGAGACTGTGTGTGTGACCTCAGAGCTGCTTCCTGTCTGCCCTGGATCAGAAGGACTTCCTCTGGACACTCACCTCAGGTTTGAACCAATCACAGACGGTCAGAAGGGGTTGGATAAAGCGGACGCCACATACACACCACATGACTGACATCACCGCCATGTTCTACAACTTAAAACCCAAGCAAAACAGAGAAGGTTCAACAACGCTAACACACTGTAATAATAATAATGCATCATACTTACTGTATATAGCACTTTTTTGGACTCTCAAAGACGCTTTACAGAAGAAAAACAGTTAAGTGTTGGCAGTTCTGAACAGGTGGGTTTTGAGAAGTTCTGTAGTGAGTCTGAGTTCCTAATGTCGGTCCCCCAAGGTCCGGCACTTTGTTCTGAGGGAGTGAGGAGGTTGGAGTCTGAGGATCTGAGGCGTCGGGAGGGACAGGGAGCCAGTGGAGTTGTTTGAGGACGGGGGTGATGTGGTCTCTGGGGCGATGATGAGGGAGGGGCGGAGACGGGCGACGATGAGGGAGGGGCGGAGACGGGCGACGATGAGGGAGGGGCGGAGACGGGCGACGATGAGGGAGGGGCGGAGACGGGCGACGATGAGGGGAGGGGCGGAGACGGGCGATGATGAGGGAGGGGCTGAGACGGGCGATGATGAGGGAGGGGCTGAGACGGGCGATGATGAGGGAGGGGCGGAGACGGGCGACAATGAGGGAGGGGCTGAGACGGGCGATGATGAGGGAGGGGCTGAGACGGGCGATGATGAGGGAGGGGCTGAGACGGGCGATGATGAGGGAGGGGCTGAGACGGGCGATGATGAGGGAGGGGCTGAGACGGGCGATGATGAGGGAGGGGCTGAGACGGGCGATGATGAGGGAGGGGCTGAGACGGGCGACGATGAGGGAGGGGCGGAGACGGGCGACGATGAGGGAGGGGCTGAGACGGACGACAATGAGGGAGGGGCTGAGACGGACGACGATGAGGGAGGGGCGGAGACGGGCGACGATGAGGGAGGGGCTGAGACGGGCGACGATGAGGGAGGGGCGGAGACGGGCGACGATGAGGGAGGGGCTGAGACGGGCGACAATGAGGGAGGGGCTGAGACGGGCGATGATGAGGGAGGGGCGGAGACGGGCGACGATGAGGGAGGGGCTGAGACGGGCGACGATGAGGGAGGGGCTGAGACGGGCGACGATGAGGGAGGGGCGGAGACGGGCGACGATGAGGGAGGGGCTGAGACGGGCGACGATGAGGGAGGGGCTGAGACGGGCGATGATGAGGGAGGGGCTGAGACGGGCGATGATGAGGGAGGGGCTGATACGGGCGATGATGAGGGAGGGGCTGAGACGGGCGATGATGAGGGAGGGGCTGATACGGGCGATGATGAGGGAGGGGCGGATACGGGCGATGATGAGGGAGGGGCTGAGACGGGCGATGATGAGGGAGGGGCTGAGACGGGCGATGATGAGGGAGGGGCGGAGACGGGCGATGATGAGGGAGGGGCGGATACGGGCGATGATGAGGGAGGGGCGGATACGGGCGATGATGAGGGAGGGGCTGAGACGGGCGATGATGAGGGAGGGGCTGAGACGGGCGATGATGAGGGAGGGGCTGAGACTGGCAATGATGAGGGAGGGGCTGAGACGGGCAATGATGAGGGAGGGGCGGAGGCGGTAGAAGAAGGATGTTTTGGTGATATAGTTTGTGTGGTTTGAATGTGAGGGTAGAGTCCAGAATAACACTGAGGTTGCGCCCAGAGGGGGAGGGAGCGAACTTGATCAGCTTCACGGAGTCGAGGCTGGAGGTGCAGTGGTTGGTGTACAGGGAGAAGAGCAGGGGAGAAAGAACACAGCCCTGTGGGGCTCCTGTATTTATAATCCGAGAGTCCGAGACATTCTTCCCCAGACGCACTCGCTGCTTCCTGTCCGTCAGGAAGTCAGTGATCCACCTGCAGGTGGAATCGGGCACGTTGAGCTGGGAGAGCTTGTCCTGGAGCAGGGATGGCAGGATTGTGTTGAAGGCAGAGCTGAAGTCCACGAACAGGACCCTGGCGTAGGTCCCCGGGGGGTCCAGGTGCTGTAGGATGAGAGGGGCGGGGCTTAGAGAGAGAGGGGCGGGGTCTAGTGTGAAAGGGCGGGACTTAGTGTGGCTCATCCTTATTTGGCTCTTTGCTCTGTCAGGGGAAGACCCGCGATTGGTCGGTTTGGACGTGTCTGGCGACCGCGTCCCTCTGCACCTGCTGCTCCGTCAAAGTGGCAACGTCATACAGGTGAGTCACCCCCGAGAGGAGTCCAGGTCCAGACTGGGACTGGTCCACAGGCCGAGAGGAGTCCAGGGCTGTATCCGAATGTCCACACTATACCCTATCCACTCACTCACTATATAGTTCGGGACTATATAGCGACTGAGTGAGTGAGTCAGTGCACTCATTCTGTTGGCGATTCGGACAGCTGCACACTATTTTTAGCCGCGGCCCACATCACACCCCTGTCACATGTCATTGGATCGATATAATTTTATATATAAATAAAAGTATATTAAAATATCAATATTTGTCTAATATACATGTATAAAATGTTTTTACAATTTATATTCATATTTATGAATTTTGGTTGACTTATTCGCTTAACGTCTTTCATATTCCCGCCACCTGACCGGCTCCTCTAACACTGGTGAAATGGCACCTCCACTGAATTTTGCGGTGTTTTTGTTAACTATTATAAAACTTCTCATAATGCGAATTAAAAACCGCCGAACAGAGAGAAGGCGAAGACAGGCGATGAGGCGGAGGAGGAGAATGGCTCTTCGTTCATTAGCAAGGCGTCGTGTAAGTATTGTATTCGTCCTTTGTCTATATAGCATTAGCACCATCTACTGGGTAAATTATAGTACTTTTGGTGTACTTACTAATTAAAAATACTATTCTCAGTCAATGAGAAACACATTAGTCATATACATTTAGACATATTTCAACAAGAAAACACATTGTATAGACACACTCACTTAAAATGCAAGAACATTAAAATATTTTATTGGTTGAAAGAACACAAAACCATAGCAAGGGAAATGGATTAAGTACTCATTTTTTTCTAAATGAAAAATGAGTACTTGATCATTAAACAATAATAGAATTTGCTTGGCCATGGGGCACAGGGCTTCTGTGATTTTTTTGTGTGTTATTAGGTGCGAGTGATGTAGTGAGGGTTTCTACTTCAGTTGTCTCAGGGCAGCTCCAGCTCCCTGCAACACACAATACATTTGGCAAAATCAATGCCAGGGCACAAAAGAACATGACTTCAGCTATATACTCTTCATTTTTATTTACATTTTTAAATCTCAAAATGAAAAATGAGTACTTATTCCTGTGTCTGCACTCATAACTAAAAGTGCAGATACAAAATTAAAAAATGAATCTAGAAGTATCATATTAAGTTTAAGAGAATTTTTGTTTTGTTTTAGGGTGAACCACCTGTGTACTGCCGACTGAACCACCATGTACCCCTACTCAGCATGTACTTAAATGGCCAGTCTGACCTTCGCCCCGATTTTTGCCTCACTCGAACCACCATCACCCGTCTGGTTAGCCACCTGAGGAGTGCTCATCACCAGGGCTGGAGCCAGGACATGGAGGTTTTGGTCTTCCTCTTTTGGTTGGCCAGTGGCACCGCGTACCGTGTTGTCGCCAGGGCATTTGACATGCCCCAGTCCACAGTCCACGATGTGATCCACAGGGTGGCCAACCAGATCCTTCAAATGCGTGGCCAAATAATTCATTTCCCTTCCCTGGAGGAACTTCCCCAAGTTGCAGCTGGGTTTCAGTTGCTGGCTGGATCAGCTGCTCTCAATAATGTTGTGGGGAGCATCGACGGCTGCCACATTAGAATAAAGCTCCTTCAAGAAAATGCACAGTGTTATTTTAACAGGAAATTGTTTTATTCTATTCAAATGCAGGCTGTGTGTAATCACCGTGGCTTATTATTGATTTGTTTGTTGGCTACCCCGGATCTGTGCACGATTCTCGAGTGCTTAAAAACAGCCCCCTCTACGTCCACCGGCTCTATCCCCCAAATGGACACGTCCTCCTTGGGGATGGTGGCTAGCCTTGCCTCCGTCAGCCCATCACACTCCTCACTCCATACAGAGAGCCTGTTCGGAGCCCAGTGGAAGCCCGCTTCAACCGGCACCATGCACGGGCACGATCTGTAACAGAAAGAGCGTTTGACATGATGAAGGCAAGATGGCGATCCATTTTTTTTAAGGCACTGGAAGTCCAACCCACCTTTGCAGTCCAGGTGACTGCCTGTTGCGCCATCCTGCACAACATCTGCATCAGCGATGGTGATCTCTGTGAGCCAGTGGAAGAGGAGCCAGGGCCTGATGATGAGCAGGACCAGCATCAGCAGCACCAGCCTGATCAGCAGTGTGGACAGGAGCTGTGTGGACAGGAGCTGTGTGGACAGGAGCTGTGTGGACAGGAGCTGTGTGGACAGGAGCTGTGTGGACAGGAGCTGCGTGGACAGGAGCTGTGTGGACAGGAGCTGTGTGGACAGCTGTGTGGACAGGAGCTGCGTGGACAGGAGCTGCGTGGACAGGAGCTGTGTGGACAGGAGCAGTGTGGACAGGAGCAGTGTGGACAGGAGCTGCGTGGACAGGAGCAGTGTGGACAGGAGCTGCGTGGACAGGAGCAGTGTGGACAGGAGCAGCGTGGACAGGAGCTGTGTGGACAGGAGCTGTGTGGACAGGAGCTGTGTGGACAGGAGCTGTGTGGACAGGAGCTGTGTGGACAGGAGCTGTGTGGACAGGAGCTGTGTGGACAGGAGCTGTGTGGACAGGAGCTGTGTGGACAGGAGCTGTGTGGACAGGAGCTGTGTGGACAGGAGCAGCGTGGACAGGAGCTGTGTGGACAGGAGCTGTGTGGACAGGAGCTGTGTGGACAGGAGCAGTGTGGACAGGAGCTGTGTGGACAGGAGCAGTGTGGACAGGAGCTGTGTGGACAGGAGCTGTGTGGACAGGAGCTGTGTGGACAGGAGCTGTGTGGACAGGAGCTGTGTGGACAGGAGCTGTGTGGACAGGAGCTGTGTGGACAGGAGCAGCGTGGACAGGAGCTGTGTGGACAGGAGCTGCGTGGACGGATGGCAGCAGCACTTTCCGCCCCAAGGGCCAGGCTACCAGCTCTTCGGGACCACGACTATTAATTAAATGTTTGAATAATCTGTGTTTTGGCCTATTTAAATAAAAACAAACACAATTGAATATGTAAATATCTAAAAAGAAATTGTTGAATGTATGTATAGTTTTCTTTACAAATGTCTAGTTGATTAAATTTTTTGTGTGTAAATAGTGTTCATCATTGTATGTCGATATGCATATAGTTCACACTACACTTATCAAAATACATTTTTATCTACTATTTACAACTTCTCAACAATTCTCTCCAACAAACTCAACAGTCTCTCCTTTCTCTCTTCCTCTCTTCTTCCCCTCTCCTCTTCTCGCTTCTCCCTTTCCTCTTCCTTCTTCTCCACCTTCTCCAAAAAACTAATTCAACTCTCCCTCCTCGGCCTCTTGGCTGCCACACTGCTTTCCTCTTCCTCTTCCTCCTCTGGCTGTACGGGGGCAGGGGGTTGTTCCACAGATGTGGAAACGCCCTCCCCCATGGATGAGGCAATCAGGCAGGGAGGCTGCACGGATGGCCTGCTGCCTATCGCCTCATCCATGAGGGAGTACCACTTCCACGATATGGCGGTAGGCTCCCCTCCTTCTGTCCCTGTCCCTGTGCGTGGCTGTCTGAGCTCCTTAAAACAGTGAGTTTTGTATAATAAATGCTTCACAAATTAGCTTCAAAGAAACAAACCTTGTAGGTCTTTTTCAGGTTCTCCCACTTCTTGGCCGCTCTGGCAGGGTTGATCAGGCGGCTCAGCCCCATTTCCTTTATCACTGCCCTAAAGTAACGATACATAAAAACATTTGAATATGAGTAGACGTTTTTTGAATAAGTATTTATTCATAATGGTCATACTCCCATCCAGCCGCCGAAGCACATTTTTCACCCGCAGTCAGATGAGTCTCTCCACATCAGTGTCTGTCCCTTTAAAAAACATTAAACACACAATAAATGCTATACATATAACACAAGTGCTTTAATAACATTAATGACTGACCACCAGTGACCCGTTTCTGTAGCGTTCGCTTTAGATGTTAATGTTATGATATGCCAAAATGCTAACACTTTCGCGGCATAACATTGGTACGTTGTTTCGCAGTAAAAGGCAATGGTATTCTGACTTCAAATGTGTATTTTGGCAGCTTATCGTCAACAATATATCACGGTTTACACATTTACATATTTATGATGATTAAAAACTCACATTTGGAGCTCATGTCCCGCTTCCCTTCCAGCTCGTCTCTCTGTGCCTCCGCCATTTTACTTCCGTATAGTGACCACTGCTGCTCACTACATTTTCGAGATGCATTGTGGGAAAATTCCAGTGCACTATATAGGGTATAGTGTGGACATTCGGATACAGCCCAGGGGTCAGGACCCATTGTTGCGTCCTTCTGGACCTCCTCAATGACTTCAGCACATGTATGGAGCAGGGGCCTAGGTCTATGGTCTCCCTCTGGTCCCTCTCTGGTCTTTGGTCT